ACCAACGCCCGATACTTAGAGACACGTCTGCTGAATGTAATTGCCTTGTAACCAATCATCTGTGCTCTTAATATTGATATTTTACGTTATGTCACTCGCATATTTTTCGAACAGATCCTGAGGGGCGAGCGAGTTTCAAATCAACACACGCCACTTGTGTCCATGAGTCTTTACCTGTATTCTACTTTCTAAATTATAAAAAAGTGCCAGAGAATCCGGCGGTCGGTTTGTTATAAGTTGTTTCTAACTTTCTCGGCAAACTAAATTTTTCAGTGTCTTGGAATACTTGAAACATTTTTCAAGCAGTTTGCGTCTTTGGACGGATTATTCTTTTTTCGCAATAGAAAATACAGTGTCCCAAAATATTTGACATCATTTTAAAAGCAATTATCCTGACAAATACTACGTCTAGCTCAATGTAATTGAAAAACATTACGTGTTGAACATCTAAGTTTCTTATGGGACCGATTTTATAAATGTTTAATATGTGCACCGCCTGTGACACGGCACATGTCAATTCGGTAGTTAAGCTTTTTTCAAACACACTGTAGCAAGTCTCCGTTAACCTTATCAAGGGCGGAAGTGATTCTCTGCTTGAGTTCATCAACGCTAACAGGAAGAAGGGTTTGCACAGACTAGTTCCTTAACATATCCCCATAAGAAGAAATCACACGGGGACATGAAAATTGTTTTATCTCCACTACCACCGATCCTTCTCTCTGGCAGATTCTCATTGAGATAACAAAAACGAAAGATTAAATATAAAATCTTGATTTGTTTCTATACTTTCTATGAAAATTTGAGGTTTTTTCAACAAAAATTACCAAAGTTATCGGTCTGCGAATTGATGTCAAACTTTTGGGACACACTGTAATATAATCATGTACGCGAAATATTAAAGACGACCAATTTTTTTAAAAAAATGTAGCATAATTTCATTTGCTTACATTCTGAGGGGATATATCTGGTAAATACAGAAATCTAATCCTCGCTATGTTTTTTTTGTTTTACTTAAAAAAAAGGACAGAGAAAATATATTTTCTTAACTAAAGTTGACGAGAAAGTGTCAAAATAATCAAGAAGTTAACGTTGGGTGTCACCTCAAATAAAAATCCTAAATCAGTAATGGAAAGAACAATAACAGCTAGTGGATTTGAGAAACCTATTTACCTGACAATTTTTTTTAATGAAAAGATATAAATCCCAAACGGGCAGTAGCTGTTCATCCAATAAATTCCGAATAATTTTCATAAGAAATAGTTAATATTAACATTACCATTACAAATGAGAAAAGATACAACATTTTTATCCAATCCCGATAGGCATGGAGTGAAGAAAAGTGTAATTCGATCAGCACTGGATGCTTGGTCAATAAATTCCGAATATTTCCTTATGAGGAAACGGTTAATATTACCATTGCTTTGTATTTTAGCCATATCTTTTTCTTCGTTAGAGACGCACGATTCCCAGACCTTGGTTGTTACCGTATAGCATTATTCAGAGTTGATAATTTTTAAATAAAATTTACATCAACTTGTCGGTTTGCTGCAATTTCATTACGTCGGTTTCTCTTGGGGTTAACCGTTTCATTTTAATTGTATTTACAATATATTAATGCCCATTGATTAAGTTAGTCTCCTCATACGATAAAGAAATTTATTTCCCATGGGGAGTTCCCGCGTTCTGGACGACATTTTAAAATGCAGATCAGCTTTTACATAAAGAATGATAGAGACGGTTACAAATTACCAAAACTAAGATGAGTTGAAAATAGAATCGACATTTATATGAAGATTTCTGTTATTCGTATATCTAAAATAATGTTAAGGAAAGGACATTTTTCAAAACGGAAATAAATGTAAAATTAACGAAAGATCAGTTCTATGATCCGAAGTAATTATCAGGAGTTTTGTAAATGACATATTACTTCACCTCCGATGCAATAATGTTTCTTCCAATTTCGTTTTCTTTTTTGTATTATTTTATTTATGCATTGAAATGATTCATTGGGAAATTGGATAATTTCCTATTACTTTTTCCACCATTGTGAATTACTTTCCCACTATTTCATTGGCCGCGATGCAGGGGCAATCTGCTTTACATTTTAATCCTAAACTAAGGGACAAGAAATTACGTTTTGCCACATCAAAGTTATAAATGCATACATATATCTATATTATGTATACATTTTAATATATTTATTGTTTATATGCTATTTTTATAGATACAAATATTTCAGTAAATGCTCTGTTTATAAAAGAGAAAGAAGTATTAACATTTACCGGCCTGAAGTTCCTAGAAATTTCATAGAAAATATGTGCCCTCCGAAAAGATTTGAAACTGTATCTTACACGGAACCGTCATATAGCCTGATGTGCTATACCATTTAGCTACAGAGAAAGCGTTCTGTTAGCAAGGTTGGATTATTGCCAGTACGTTAATATAAGCTTCGAGTAGATTGCAGCGTTCGAAAGAAATCATGGAAGATTTTTAATTTTAAAGCAGTAATTCGACATTGTTAACAAGACACTTCCTCTTTAGCTAAATAGTATAGCACGTCAGGCTATATGAGGGTTTCATGTATGATTCAGGTTCGATTCCTGTCGGAGGACACATATTTTCTTTGAAATTTCTCGGAACGTCAGGCCGGTAAATGTTGTTAATACTGTTTATTATAAACAAACTATTTACTTAAATATTTGTATCTATAAATAGAGTGTATAATCAATAAATATATCAAAATAATTGTCGCATTTAGTTCATAATATATATATATATATATATATATATATATATATATATATATATATATATATATAAAAGAATGTAGGACGCTAATAAAAAGGAACATCCTCGCTGGGCATATATTGGGTCGGATTAAGCGAAGACATTGCTTGAAATCGATTCGCAGCCATTATATATGTTTGTTAATCTTTCAGAACCGTCTATTCGAGGATATGGCACCAGGTGTTTCTGGTATGGCTTCAGCAACAAATAAAGTTTTACGGGATGGGGTTATTGTCCTCACGTTCAAGCGTTTTGGGATCGATATTTAATAAAACATGATGGTCTGCGGTGCCTTTCTATTACCCGCTAGCTGAGGAGGATATAAAATGTATTCATCCATATCAAGAGGTACTTGCATGAAATTCAATTCAACGTCCCCGGCTGGGATTTGAGCAAGATATGATCTCACTTCCTGCGCCAATAACCACAACCCGATACTCACATCTTCGCTTAAGCTGTTAGCGGTAAGTTTGAGTTAAATTATCACAAGAAAACGGTAATGCTAAAGAGACGGCTCAGTGGTCTCACTATTATCGGGCCAAATCAATGACGGTTATTATCTCACAAGTTGGGAAATTCATGTTCATAACGACAGATTCATTTGAAATCTAGCTCAGTAAAGAGGGATGGGCAGTTATGTAATGTCGATATAAGGTAGATAATGCTGAACATTTTCTTCACAGAAGTGTTACTACAGAAGAATGTTGTGTATACCATAGACCTAGCATATGATCTGTTCTAGAGTAGTTTTCACAGTGGAGGCTTGTATTTCACTAAGTCGGTCCTAAAAAGATTCGATGTACAAAACGTTAGGAACTTGAAATAATAGTTAATGACGCAGCAATCTAGTCGTGGTGGCTGGTACTTTAATGTCCGACATCGACTGACTGACCACCTCACTGAGCTCCTTGGCGATTGCTACTACTCCTACTTATTATAGGTGGGAGAGTCTATTAACAATAGAATAGGTATGCTCCAGTATAACATGATCATAAAAGTTTAAAAGAAAACCGGAAACGTACAGTTGTAAGTAGAAAGATATAAGTGAAATTTCTGGGACACATAATGTGGAAAGAGGGCTTGGAGAATTTTAAACTCCCATGTTATAGTGAATTCAAGAGTGACAGATTGAATTTACGAGTAACCTACCGAACTAGTTGATGTAAATTAACGTTAGAACATGACCTGGGATGGATAGTAAAAAGATAAATATTGCTTCGAGTTGCATAGTATCGTTATGGATAGACAGAATAGTTTACGTCATAAATAGGGATTACACATAGAAAAAGAAAAGCAGGCAGCCATTAACGACATCATCAAAAGAGGTTTGGATGCAGCTAGGTTCCTTTCCCAAATCGAACCCGCAGGCCCCGACCGCGGTGATGGAAAGCGGCCGGGTGGCATTACCATTTTCCCTTTTAAAATGAGGAAGTCGTTGATTTGGGATGCGACCTGTGCGGATACATTTTCGGTCGGTAATTTGATCAGTTCCGCGGTTGAGCCAGGATCCGTCGCCCGGGACGCAGAAATGGAAAAAATAGTTAAATATTCTTCTCTTGCTGATAGATTTTTTTTTATTCCTGTGGCAGTGGAAACTTCAGGGGTTATTGGCCCTCAGTCGATGGCGTTCCATCGGGGGACTGGCGCGATTGCGTCTCAATTAAGGGACGAGCCTCGCGAAACGGAGTGGCTCTTGCAGCGTGTCTCACTGGCCATGGTTCGAGGTAATGCTTTCTCCATCATTGCGGTTGGCAGAGGTTAGAAAAAAATTGTTTATAGTTACGTTGTTCTGGAATTGTCATCAGTGGTCAACTGTACTTGTTTTGTTTCAATAAAAACATTCATATTCAAATAAAAAAAAGAAAAATTAAAAAAAAAAGTTTTTGTTTCTGCTGCGACTTTAGCTATGACGTCATTTAGAACCTCCAACAGAATTTCTGAAATCAGGATTGATTAACTGAGTGAATTTTATGTTTTATCAACCTAGTGCAGGTTATTTAAAGCCATAAAATATTTAAAGATTGTAAGATTTTTGTTAATAGATAATAATGATTTACTGATACAATTCATACTATTTAATCCATAGCTTGTGGGAAGAAGAGCTGGTTTCATGTATTTTGCAAGGTTTATTTGTGTGTAATTGTACATAACGAACCCGAATTAAATTGGAAATCTGCTCTCCAATTTTCATTATATCATCCAAACATCCAAGCTCACAGCATCTGGTATTCACACGCGGATACCCATCTAGGTAATAATCTGTTTCAACGTTGCTTAACTTCGATTGTCGTAAGAGAACCGGTGTTTCAACGTGATATGGTCGTAAGCCGTCTACAAGATGGCAGAGGCGGAATGAAAGTTAAAGACAAAAAATGCTGACGAAAAGAAAAAAAGGAAATGAAAAAAAAAAAAAATGATGAATAAATGAAAAGTGATTACATAACGTGTTTCCCCTCCCGACAAAAATGAAAAACAAAAAGAGATTTAAGTTCGTAGAAAATCGGGTAAATAAGAAGTAATATGCCAGAAAATATATATAATAAAACGAGGTGAACGGAATGAATTCTTAGAGAAAAGCTGTCGCCATGTAATACTTGCTTATTGAGTTTTAAACGTCATTTATGATGAAGAAAGTCGGGAATGATTATCTCACCACGAGAACAGCCTGATCCACTGACCGTGCCTCTCGTAAATAGACTGAAAGCAATAAAAAGTAGTTGAATAGAAAAAGAGTTAGATTAACTGATATAGAAATTCTTGTTTATAAATGCCTGCGTCTACCTATTCATGTGTCCATACGTTTATATCGGAATAATTTTTACAATGTATATATGTTAGTTTCTGCGTTCGTTTGGGCGTACTGAGGATGTGTATGCCAGATCGTGTACAGCCGTTTGTTACTGTGTACGTGAGATTTTTTTTTTCTTATTTTTATTTCTTATTTTTTTTTTTTAATGTTTGAGTTTGTCGGTCACACTGAAGGAAATTGTTTCGTGAAAGTAAGGGTATCTTTAACACTTTGCTTGTCCAGGGCATTTTCGTGTGTACTATACAAACGACCGTGCTTGATATCAGACTTATAAATAATGCAAGGCAACCCAGCTTATTTGGCAAATAGAATGTGCTGATATATAGTGTTTCACATAATAAAACGTACTAATCATAAGTTATTTACACTACGCTCTGTGCCAATTCTTTTCTAGGGGTCTGCAATTAAAACTGTGAGGTTACCTACCTTGTGTGCGAGGACATCCACTCAGTGGTATTTTAGTCAGGACTATATAAGAGTGGCGATAACCTCTCTCTTTCTCTTTTCTCAATAGAATTCTGAAGATACAGTGTACCATATGTGATTTTCTGTGCATCATATAAAATGCGCAGGGCAGGCAAAGGGCTAATTTGCTAGGTTTTTATCTGGATATTCTTAAGACAAGATGTTCTCAAGACAAATATATTATAAATTTTCTGAACTGTTCTGCAAAAATCAAGTAAACTTGGGTTTTACGATATGCAGTTATTGTTCGAAACTTCTAAGTTATCGATACTTACCGAATTCCAAAATAGTAAACTTTGGATCGTATATATATATATATATATATATCATTTGTAAACAAAAAATAAAATCCCAGTTCTTTAATCACAAAATCTCGAAAAGTAGTTGCTGAAAAACGACGGTAACAGAGCTAATCGAATTAAAATGAATGATTCTTTTTTTAGGAGTCTGTAACTAAAACTGTGAGGTTACCTACCTTTTGTGCGAGGACTTCCACTCAGTGATATTTTATTCAGGACTATATAAGAGTGGAGATAACCTCTCTCTTTCTCTTTTCTCGATAGAATTCTGAAGATACAGGGTACAATATGTGATGCATGGATGTGGAAATCACATGTCCTGTCAGACGCAGGACAGACAAAATTTTAAATGCATGATACAATTCGTGATAGCGTGTTAGATTAAGTCTCGATATTCGAATTTCTGTACGAGACCATTTAGGGATGTCAAATTCAGACAGCTTCCTCACAAAGGCCGATACTTTGTGGAACATTTTCTCCAGAAGATGCTTCTCGAGTCACTAATTACATACCCTCTTCAGGTCTAAGGTAAATCGTTAGCTTTACCAAACATAAACTGCAGGTTTTACGTCATCTTCTTACGCTTATAGGACAACCACAATCAGTAACCCAATAGCTAGAGTGGCTCTTGGGGCTTATATTGGTAGAACAGTTAGTAAATACAGATATATCTTGTATTTGAATGGGAACATCTGCATATATATTTGCTGAGTTTGCTGATGTTATGCGAGTATAGGTAAGTCAAAGATGCGCATCTGTTAATTTCTTTATTTAACAATTTTTATGTATGTCTACCTTCTGTTGCATCAAAGACGGGCTATTTTGTTTTTACCTCGCATTAGGCAGTCAGCATCGCATTGTTTCTCGGAGGAAAGCCAAATAGCGATAGATTGATGGTTATAGAGAGAGATCGAATGTCAACCGATTGACAAACACTATCACCGCCATGTTCTGGCTTGCCTCACTAAGCAATCTGAATGCGGCCAGTCATTTTGTCCCTTTTAATGCCGTCTGCATCTTTTCATGCGTTTTGGTCTTGCATCACAGCAAAGGCAATACATCACTGCTGAAATTCGATACCGACGGGGATCAAGCAATTTACATTCAGTTCGTTTCTGACGAGCAATTATTTTTTTTTAGGCCTGACAGCGGATTCGGTAACACGAGTCAATTACAGTAGCTTTAGAATATATGTGGATTTAATAAATAAATTTTATTTACTTTCGCCTTCTCTTTCTCTCTCACTCCCAGTCACACACATACATACACGCACATGCATAGGTACTGTAGTTCAGTATTATGCAAGTTGTTCATGTTTGTAATTTCTAATGAACCCATGCATTACTATTGACACGCGCGTAATAGATTTGTTTTTTTTACAGTAGCTGATTTGGACGTAATTTAGGATGTAGATTTTTTTAATCATTTCACACTAAACAAGGCAATAAAGCCACTAAGACACTAAGATTAATGAGTGTACTAGAATAAGGAAAAGATAAACATTATTAAGCAGAAACAACACTAAATGAAGAGTAATAAATAAAACAGATGATAATAATTGACATTGCATTTAAACTTTAGAAGATCAAATTTGGCTGGAAAGAAAAAGCGGGAAGCGAGTTCCACAGGCGAGAAGTGAACGAAAACGAAATCGTAGAAGTTACGATTGCCTCTAGCCAAAGATCAGACCTGAAAATCTAATATTGTGTTTAAATTCATAAAATCCGTGTACCATAGAGCAAAGATTTATAGAAAACGCACAGAGAAAATACATTACGGCCGAAGGACAGTGACTGAGATGGTGTACCAGGTCAGGAACAATAACATTGAAGGTTCTTCTTTGGATTTTATGAAGAACCTCTAAATTTATATCAGAAGCATTACGTGGTAGCAATATTCGAAGCATGTACGAATGTGACACTTATGAATATGTAAGATTGATTCTAGAGAGAAAAAACTGTCTAGTACGACACAGTGAAACTACTGTCCTAGCAATAGACGTAGCAGCTGATTCAATATATTCTTTCTACTTCCTTCCAGCAGAACACCTTAGCTGGAGAATGCGCAACGAGTTACTCTCCTGGATGTTAGCATCAAAGACGTTAATAGAAGAGATAAAGTGGTCTCTTAGATGCTTAAAAATGTAGTTTTCTTTTTAGGGTGTTAATATTAACAAGCTATTCCTTGCTCCATTTTTGATGTAGATGTTACAGTTTTTTGTGTATATATATATATGTAACTAGTGAGTTAGTCAAAATGACTTAATTCCCTTTATAGTATACCAATAGAAGATTAAACAATCAGAAGCTGCAGAACATTGTATCCGTCGTGTATAAAGGCGGCCATTTTTGTTTACCCTACCGGAATGACCAGAGAGAACTTGTCAAGCGAAAATGACAGAAGGAAGAGCTACGCGCTGCTACTTTGCTGCGATATCCACTGCGAACCTGAACTACGCTTTCCTAGTGTCTCCGAAATATTCACTGCCAACCTCTGGATTCTATACTCGAAGACGACCGTCATGAATTTGTAACAGTAGATAAAACCATATTTATTTTAATCGAGTGATGCGCGTGATTCGAATTCCGACGTTAGTTCGTGTAAAATAGATGCGTAACAGAAAGGAATAGACATGACAAATGTTAAAGTATTAACGTTTCTTCAACATCGACGAGACCCTTCATTTTATCCAGTCATTAGGAACGATTGTATTCTCAATGAGGTTTCCATACGTCGGAAATCTTTTGGAACTCAAGTGTTTCAGCTCAAACCCCAAGTTGAACTCAACACTAAAGCTGTTGGTAAAATGCTCTGTGCCTTGTAAGGCCGCCGAAGTTACCGAGCCTCTACCGATGTACTTCCTTTTGGCTGATACGCCTTATAATTTTTCCAGTTCAAATTTTAGATGTAAGCCTGAGCTCGATGCTAACAGTTTCTTTTCTTGCACCTCCCGATTGTGGATCTCTGTTCCAGCCTATTGTTTTCTAGCCAATCTTGATTTTAAATAATTAAAATGCAATTCCAATCTTTATCTTCTGTCTTCTTAGTTACTATTTTTTTAAATTTTTCTCTCTCCTTAAAATTGTTAGATGTAACTCTAGATACACTATTTACATTATTCGGACTATTGTCCTCATCTTGGTCGCCATATTTATTACAACATTTCGGCCGTTGTATGCCCCAGCCTTCTTCAGGTGGTTGAAATGTCGAACTGAACCCTTTATTTCGCTCACTGGGGTAGAATGTTCAGTTCGACATTCCTACCACCTGAAGAAGGCCAGAGCGTACAACGGCCAAACGTTGTAATAAATATGGCGACAAAGATGAGGACAATAGTTCGAATAATGAAAATAGTGTACATAATATCACATCTCAGAAATATAGATAGATACGTAACTCTAGATCGGGACAAAAATGAAATAATTCTTCACTGTTTGATCTGGGAAAGCAAAGTCCTGACTTCCCCAACATCATAGCATTAAAAATAACTACGTGATATTGTGTTTGATTAATTACTTTCCTTCATCCAGATGTTTACCCACAGATGAAACATCTCACATCTGTTGCTATTCTATCCCTGTTTCGTTGGCAAATGCTACTTTAATTCAGATATTCAAATATAAAGACAACCATACTACGTAGACTGCAAAAGATATATATATCGTTTCCCTTCATATTCAATTAAAAAGAAGTAGGTTCCATTCGAACTACACCTTGTCAAGTATCACGACTTTCAGGAACCGACTCTCGGGT